TACAGATTATTTGATTAAGTAAAATTAATACAGCCACAGACTAAACACCTAAAGAAACATCAAAAAGCTACTAAATATTAACCAAATACCTATAGAACATAACAGCAATTTTTTTTCTAAATACCTAACAATTCTACTAACATCTTAACATTGAACAGCCAAATATTACACATCAAATGGAACTATTTACAAAATCCAAAATCTTACATTTCATTTTTTTCAGTGGAGGGTTCTATTTTTGTGACCCAGCCACCTTGGATCTCCAACTTTACAACGAGTTTCCCTTTTTCAAGGAGGTTTTCGAATGGTTCCCAGAATGATTGTTTGATGTGGGGTTGATCCCCATTGGAGAGGAGCAGCTGGAACTCTCCTTCTTCAGTCTCCTCAGCACCCAAGACTTCTATAACCACCATTATGGTCTGGACTGCAACCTTCTGTTGGAAACACAAACAACACAGGGTTTGTTAAATTTTTCATCACTAAGCTGTTAACTTTGTTTTCGTTTTACGTGTTTTTCTTCTCAGAAGAAGCTACAATGGTGTTTTGCTGAGCTGTGGTGGCCTCATGTAACGAGCCATTAGCTGGCACATTGATGCTAACCAAGGGGTGAGCAATCCTGGTCCTTGAGGTCTGCTATCCAGCAGGATTTAGTTATTTCTCCGCTTAAACACACCTGGTTTGAATCTGCTGTTGATTACCAGGCTGCTGCAGAGCCTGATGGGCTGCTGAACAGGTGATTCATCCAGGAATCAGGTGTGTTGGAGCAGGTAAACAACTAAAACCTGCTGGATAGCCCTCGAGGACCAGGCGTGTCCATCCCTGTGCTAACCACTTAACATTCTCCCTCTCCTGATATTGACAATTTACTTTCTTTAACATACAGCAGGGGTCCTCAATTATAATGGTCTGAGGGCCACACACAAAAAAGACCCAGAAGCAAGAGGGCCGTAACATAAATTAAAGCAGCTTTCTGGAGTTTTCCCCTTTCAGAAATAATGAATTATTTGTCAGAAATCCGTAAAAGTGATTATCTTTTCATGTAATGTGATATAATGTAAGCAATACGTCTTTTTTGTTTTGTTTTGTCTACACACACACCCTGCCCCACAGAGCTCCGTGCAATAGGACACTGAGTGTCGACCAGAACTAACCAATAACGTTAGATTACCGCTTACTTGCTTCAAATTTAAGTAATACGTCGGCTAAAGCAGAGTGGATGAACTTTTCACAGACAAGTAAGTCTCTAAAATATAAATAAATGAGAACACAACATGACATGAGCACAATACTCGTAAAACAATGTGTTTTAGCGGTTTTTCGGCTAGAAACGTGAAGTCGCCATCTTAAAAAAACAGAGCAACAGACTTTTTGTGTGATATGCTTGTCAGCCACTAGATGTTGCCATCAGATAAGAGAAATACTGGGAAAAAGCTTTAAGTATAGATTCACTCAGATAAAGTCAATAAAGTTTTTTTTGAAGAAATATAATCTCTACTAAGAAATCACAATGTATGCAGTCATAGAATAACACGTGGTTAATATGTTGAGTGCATGTAGCCTATGTGCGTGTGTGTGTGTGTGTGCTGGCGTGCATACACGAATGCCTGTGTGTGTGTGTGCACGCGAGTGTGTGTGTGAGTGTGTGTGGGTGTGTGTGTGTGCTGGCGTGCATACACGAATGCCTGTCACACACACGAATGCCTGTGTGTGTGCGCGCATGTGTGTGTGTGTGTTGGCGTGCATACACGAATGCCTGTCACACACACGAATGCCTGTGTGTGTGCGCGCATGTGTGTGTGTGTGCTGGCGTGCATACATGAATGCCTGTGTGTGTGTGTGTGTGTGTGTGTGTGTGTGTGTGTGTGTGTGTGTGTGTGTGTGTGTGTGTGTGTGCGTGTGTGTGTGTGTGTGTGTGTCTGCTCTGTCTTCTCGATCCCCAGTGAGTCGTGGAGGATGGCTGCTTATACTGAGCCAGGATCCTCTGGAGGTATCTTCCTGTTAAAAGGGAGTTTTCCTCTCCACTGTCGCTACATGCTTGTGTAACGGTGTAAATAATTAGCATGGTTTTGTTATTGTTAAATTCCTGTTAAACCTGCTATTGCAACCATGGGGTTTGTTTTATTTTGTTAGATTCGATTTTTAGATCTTTATTTTGAAAATCCACAGCAGAAGTCCGCTACAGATGAACGTTCTGTTTTCCGGGTATTCCGTTAGTAGCGAGGTGGCTTTTGCTGTGGTAAGTACTCCATCAGTCCGCCCAGACTGAAAATGGGTAAAAAAGGTATTTAAAGATGTCTGTTAAGCTTAACAAAACTGTCCATTAATGCCATGAATCACCTATACAATTGTGTCCAGTTACATTTCGGTTTTTGTGACTTTGGTTAGAAGGTAGAAAAATGCACGTGCTGTACTAGCTGCTAAAAGCGAGGGGAGAGCCTCATGTCTCATCATTATTTTAAACTTTTCTTTTTAGTTTTGGGCGGAATCCTGCTGCTGGAAACCCATGGTTTTGCATATCCTATGTAATTGCAGGTATGTTTTCTGTGAACTGTATTTGTTTGAGCTCTTGGCTAATTCTGTTTAAAACATTGTGCTTATTTAGTTGTGTCCAGCAGGTGGTAGAATTTTTTCCATTTATTTTGGCACATGAAAGAAACTTATTTTAATTTATTTGAAGGTGAATATGAATGTGCATTTTGCATTTAAGTGAATTATTTATTTTGTTTACCTGAATCACAATGCAGTGACATCTTATTTTTTTGTAATAAGTTTTATCTTGTTTTCCATCCAATTTGTAATTTGATTAGTTTTAAGAAAAATTAATAATACGAGGTGGCTTTTGCTACGTTTTGGGCGGAATCCTGTTGCTGGAACCCCATGGTTTTCCCATGTAATTGCAGAAGCCTGCAGAGGGGATAAACCAATCCTAAGCTCTACCCATCTTGAGTCCAGAGAGTTTCACTCTTACAGTGGTGGAGATAGACAGAAGGGGTTACACTTGCTTAGTATGAGGATTGCTGTAAAGACTCTGACACTAGTCAGTGACTTGATGCAACCTGCTGGGTTCCTTATATAGGAAACTTTTTACTGATAGTGCAGAAAAAATAAACAGCTAAAACACTGCGCAGAACACCCTCCACGGACAAGGGACGGAACAATCTGTCCGCACATCCCCCCGCTGCTCTCACAAGCCGCCCAGCCAGCTTCATCAGGTTTTCTGGGGGAAACCCTGGAATATATATATATATATGTGTGTGTGTGTGTGTGTGTGTGTGTGTGTGTGTATGTATGTATATGTATATATATGTATATGTATATTACACACACCTCAATCTTTGTGTGTCCAGTTGACTGCAGCTGGCCCTTGGATCCTCTCACGTGAGAAATCTGTATGCTGGCCCCCAGTTCAGGTGTTTCTAATGTTGCCTCCCTCCACAGAGAGACATAAGCCTGAACGTCACCCTGAAAGTCAAAACATGCTGTTTAAGGACTTACTTATAAACCAGAAGAAGATGCAAACAGATTTTGTGATATTAATAATTAGGAGATTTAGCTTTTTATTTGTATTTCCAGTACTTTTACCTGCTTCAAAGTGATCTGACGCAGAGGAACGTCTCCACCGCCACTCCGTATCTTCTTCACATTGGAGATCTACACAATGAGATTAAATGGTAAATGGCAGGAGCTATAATGTTGCTATACTGGAGATTAGTTGCTGATTTTTGCCTCCTGCTGTTTTGAAGGTTTGTTTTGGGTTATTTCAGTTTATTTGTGCACAATAGTTGGATTGTGTGACATTTGGTGCAGGTTTGTTTTTTTATGTTTAATAATTGTGCTATTTTTATGTTAGCGTGCAATGTTTCTGTTGATACCTTAGGATTACCAGCATTTTAAATGTGCGCAGCTCTCTCATCTCTCAGTTGAGACTAGTAGCCTGCATGTTGGGAGCTGTAATGTTACTGTACTGGAGATGCATTAATGATTTTGCCTCCTGCTGCTGTATTAAAGGTGTGTTTGAGGCACCGCTGACATCAAAGCCACCTACATCCAAAGAACTGCTTCTGAGTTTTCTTTCCCAAGATTGATGACCACACAACATACAGCTGGAGGACAGGTGTCTCAGTCCTTTCATCCACCATTATTATTAGAGAAACAAAGCAACAATTTAAAGATATTTACTATTTGTAAATCTTTATGTGTGTAATCCCCCACCCCAAAGATGTACATGGTATTAAACTTCCAGGAAATGGTCTACTGTTTGCATGAGAAATAATAAAAAACTTACTTGTACAACCTGACCTTCAACAGTCAGGAGGCCACCAACACCTTTCCATTCCATCAGTTTCACCACCTTGGAAGATGGAAAGAGTAGAGCCTTTGCTGCCTCCGGCAGGCCCTCGCATGTGAGCTCCACTGGGGAGCTTTTAAAGAAGTTGGTTTTTTTACTGACCATAATGTGTAGTGGTGGGGTGTCTCCTTTTAAATAATAATTTTTAATTATGTAGTTTTTTTTTTCTTCCAATTTGTGTCGCAATTCCTCAAATAATGTCACTTTAGACACTGTGTGGCCATCTGTGATGGCCACCACTTTGTTAATTTTTGTTATTTTGGCCTCAGCCGAATCTATTCCAAACTCCCAGGAAACTACACGGGCACTTTCCCTCTCAGCCAGTACATGGACGTGTAAAGGTGGAGGAGTCCAGTATGGGGAAGAAGGCCTTGTGTTAAGGATTTTGTTGAGTTCCATTCTGAAATTAAAAAAAATAACAAACCATCACTGAACATTACCTCATTACATATTTCGTTACTAATAAAATAGTTCAGTTGTATTATTGTTCATACATGTTGCATGCACGTGAAGCTGACATGTTTAGCCTATGTACAATGCTTCAATATGATCCCAATTCTTGAGAGTGATAAATGCAGCAAGATGTGTTTAAAGATCAATTATATTTTTCAGTTTATAAAAGAAAGTAAATCAATATGCCTAACAGGATCGGATTGTCATCATAGTGCTTTCTTCACAAAAATCACTAAAACAGCGGTTGGTGGCAAGAGCACAGCAGAGGGAAAAGGGCTGCTGCTAAAAGAAATAGCCAATCACAGAAGAGCCCTCCTAGCCAATCAGAAGCGAGAAAGGCGGGATCTTTGCTCCCGGTTATGGGGGAAGACCTCTGTAATGAGCAGGTGCTTGTAGGAAACCCCGTAGAAACGAGAGCATCTACGTAACCGTTGACGTTGCGGAGAGTCCGTGCTAATCCTACCTAACACCGTCGCGTGACAAGCTGGCATTGCCAAAATCTGCAGTGACACCCTGTGGGTTTTAAACTATTGGGAGACTAATCAGAGCATTACTAAAATGTTGGATTTATATTTAAGCTAAAAAAAATCACCCAGAGCTGTACGTTATTTATTTACTTGTTGTGACTGTGACTGGTCGAAATTGTGGCAATAGATGGCTTACCTGTAATTTTGCCTGTCACTCCTTCCCAGGGTAGAAAAAAAACGTTTTAAAAGTTTCAGTCTCGATTGTTTAGGCATATTTAAAACATACTAGTTTTTCAGGTGGATTAAGACAAGATAATTACGATCTTCATTGAAGTTAAGTTCGTCATAATTCATGTTGAAGGTTCTTCAACAAGAATTATGACGAACTTAAAAAAAGTGGTTCGTGATTAGAAACTATGCTCTCGGACAGTCAGTAAGGTGAAATGGCGAAGCATTTGATCATTTATGTGGAATGAAGATCTAGGAATTAAGTCTCACGTACCTCTTGATTGTCCTGCTGCTGGAGATTGACTGGGTCACGGCTGGCTCACAGTCCTCTTGAAGCAGCAACTGCCCGGCTCGAGCTGTTGTCATGGTGACAAAATCATTCCTCGAAGGAAAACTTATGATTTCATAATGCCTTTAACTTTTAATAACTTTTATTGTTTGATACAAATCTTAATCTTTATATATATATATATATATATATATATATATATATATATATATATATATAAATACTTGTGTCGGAAATATGTACTGAATAAACTCGTTTTTACATTTAACTGCTTTTCAAAGCAGTTTTTTATAATCGCGGGATTTCCTACAGGACCCTGAACGCCTCTTAACTGTTTCAGTTTGTTCTCCGTGAAGGTAAGTCATAAATCTGCTTTTCTTCTTCTGTTTATCCGGTGTATCCACCTGTGGAAGGTTTGGTGTTTTTCTCTGTTGGTAATGTGACAAGAGACACGATTTATATCATGGCAGAATACGTTTAATAGATTTTTGTTTGAATAAAAGGTATTTAGATCTGCAGTTGGATCAACCGTTAGCTTCCCTTGTAGTTTAACGCAGCTAACTTCATGTGTGCTGTTTAAACTTAATCAAAAGTTGTTTCGCTTAATGAGAAATGGTGTCAGATGTTTTTAACATTCTAGTTTTTTCTGTTTGAAGTTAAATGTGTAGTCGGTTCAGCCCAAAAGCTACTAACGGCTCCAACAGCTAATGCTAGTGTTGGATTCAGACAGAAAACCGTCGATTCTGCTACACTAAAATATTATTTCTTTCTTTCTGTAAAGTGTAGAAACACGCATAGATTAATGAGGAAACCCCCAAATGAGTAAAATCAGCTCATTTTAAGCAGTGACTGTAAGGTTCATATTTGACATTACATCGCTGCAGTACTTTTATTTAGAAAATTACCAGTGCTTTTACATTAAAACCGTGTGTGATTTCCTGTCTAGCCCTATGTTAACTGCGGAAATCAACGTGTCGCAGAAGTGGCTCTCGGCAAAATTATAACCCGATCCTATCTTTAGCGGAGCGGTGTGCGGGTTTCGGTACGGGATCTGCTCGGGTACAGGATCGGCTCGGGGTCCTTCGACTGCCGATGACGTCAACGTGGTTGATTGGCTGAACATGAAGCTTACGGAAGTGACGTAATCACGTTATGATGATATAGTCTTAGCGGTTGTAGTCCTGTAGTCCAAAAATCAACACGTTTTGGAGAAAATATGTTTGAATTTCTAAAGGAAATGTAAAATATAAGCAATTGATAAACGGTGACCCTCAAAATCTCTTGAAGTTGATGAAATGGGGCAAAATAAAATATAATAACTTTATTGAAAGACACCAAGCAACATTTAGAGTCAAAGAATGTATTTAGATAACAACTAAGGAAATATACAGACGAACTCCACATTAATACAAACAGATATGGCTTCACATATAAGAACTGTCCTATTGTTTGTCAGTCCGATGTTGGTTTTATGCAGTTTCACATTCTTTACAAAACAAAGATAATATGGTGTTTTATTAACAAATTACAATTATAAAGAAAACATTTAGGTGTTAACAAACAAGAATTTATTAACAACACTGCTGACGTCTTTCCAAAACGTATGTGTGAAAGCCGAGTAGAGTTGCAGTCATGTGAAGTCATCGGCAGTCGAAGGACCCCGAGCTGATCCTGTACCGACACTGGCTTCCTCAATGATCCAACACAAGATGAATGCAGTAGTATATCACTGCAGAATCTAACCCTAACCCAGGCAAAAAAGGGTTTGGGGTATTTCTTATGAAGAAATTACAATATCACATGGTACAATGTTCCAAAAAGTAGATTTTTTTAATGATCTGAACATTTACAAAAACTGTTCAATCAATGAACCTCTGTCCACAGTCTTGCGTTTTATGTGATATTAGTTATAGCTCCCCCTTCAGTTCCAGAACGTAAGTGTTGCATTTTCCAAATATGGAATGAGTCTGACTGGTAGCCCTACAACGCCTCTTTCTTCGTGCTGCAGCCAGGGCCTTCTCGCTACTTGGGCCAGCTCCTCCAGGAGAATCCCAAGGTGTCCCCTGGCCAAACGAGTCCTTCCAGCGTATCCTGGGTCTTCCCTTTGGTCTCCTCCCAGTTCGAGCACAAATGTTTTATTGTTAAAATGTTATAATTAAAACAGTTTTTTCTTTGTCTGGCTTTTATAGATTAACAGATAATGTACAGGTCAAACAGCGCTGAGCAGATAACAGAATATCTAGTGGTAAAATCCAACAATATAAAATCTTATGTAACATGATATGTTTTTGTTTTCTTTTTTAGACTGAGAGCTTTGAGCGTGGTTTGGTGCATCAGCAGGTAAGTTAAGCACACCTGGAGGCTGAAGGGGGAAAATCCATCACGTTTATTCTTTGTGGCCTTAATGTAGCCTTGAGTTTATTGTCTCATCAGTAATTGGGTGGTTGCAGATTCAATAACTCCAGCCATGTTGATCAGATGTGATTAAATTGAATCTACTCATCAGTGCACTGAGTTTAATTCATTGTTCAAATGAAATGTTTACTGTTTAAGAAACGTTTAATGTCTGTTTGATCTCTAGGTGATAATTTACATTTGGAAGTAAAGCACATTTTATATGTTGAAGACAGAATTATACTGGAGACTCATTATTTTCTCTGTTCCACAGAAAGAACGTGATTCCTTCTTCTGTGCTTACAGGTGAGTAAAACATGTTACCTGTGTGAAACTTGGAGCTGTCTTCATTTAATTTTATTGCATAGAAAATAAATGCAGACTCACACATCTGTCTGTCTCTGTCTCAGTGATGGACTGGTTGGTGTTTATATGTAGAAACCAGAACTTTCCAGACTACTAATTGTTGGGTTTCTGTTCTCAGAATATTTCCTGTGTATCCTGTGGTGACTGGTGAGTAAAACATGTTAAATGTATGATGGAGGTTTTTCCAGGTTTTCTACAGAGGTTAAAAACAGCTGTTGTCTGAAGAGTGTCTGCTGATGTGGCAACAGGTAATCAGGGAGACACCGATAGCAGATGTGCAAAACAAGGTAACACAAACACGGTCACTCTTGCCCCTCCCATTGGCCATCATTCCCAGGCCAAGTCTGGCAGATGTGGAACCTGCATTGCCAGAGAAAACAAGAAAGCGCTAAACATTGGTCGCCATTTTCTAGGACCAAACGTCTTTGACTTGGGCTTTTCTTTCAGTCAAGAGCAGGTAGAGGTGCTTAAGTGTATCTAGAGATGCTCCGATCTGATCATGTGATTGGAAATCGAGTCTGATATCGTGATTTTTCAATGGGCCTGAATGAACTCTATCAGAGTTTCTCAGAAAAATTAGTTGTGCAGACTTGCACATGCACCCACATACATAACAGACTCACTGCTCAGTAGAATGAGCAAACATAGAAACTGCAGCAGGCTGGAGGGTTTCCACTCCACCTAGATCACTAGAAGAAAGGGAGGAGAATGTTTCCTTTATGGAGGCAAGCGGCTCTGAGCTGTAACGTTTTCATATCGACCTGTGAGATGACTCTTGTCGTGAGTTGCCACTATGTAAATAAACTTAATTGAATGAATTCTGAGTGGAGGTGTGGTCATGACTCAGCTGGAGTCCAGTGCAGTTCTGTCATTTAACGTCACCTTGTACCTTTTAGCCATCAGCTGTAGCAGATTCAGAATCAATTTAGAGCAGAGTTTTAACCTGGAGATGGACAAATGGCTATGGTTTGAAGATGAATTATGAAATTTTAAGTAAGCGGAGGCTTACAGCTGTGCTTTGTGATAAAGTAGGCCCAAGTCTAAAATGACGCCAGTTATTCATTTATGTTACTAATTACTTGCAGTCAGTCTGATTGTTTAGGTCACCAAGCAGAATTGGGATAGCTAAATAGTAATTTTAAGGATGTTTTACTCACAATGCTAGTTGGATCCATTCACTTACTGTGTTTTATGCTAAGCTAAAGGAGTACAGCCGGGTTGGGAGCATGACTGGGCTGGTTACAAATTGATTTTTTCCTACTTATTGAAATATTAAACAAAAAAATCTGAGAAATATGTCAATAGACAAATTAAAATTTTGGGTGGAATATCCCTTTAAGGAGGACACTATGCTACATGCTTGAAGGATCCCATGTTCCTGAGAAGGCTGTGTGAAGAAAACCTGGCTGCATGTGGGCGGGCCGACCAGTTTGATGTTTGTGTTTAACCAAATGATTTCTTAGCTGTTGTTATTATTAACCATATTTCATCAGCTTCCATAGCTTCAGAGTAGTAGCAGCTCTAGATTTTGAATATGTACACACACACACACACACACACACACACACACACACACACACACACACACACACACACACACACACACACACACACATTGACCCTTTGAATTTATGTCACCTGATCTCATAGGTCCATCATAGCAGAGGGTAACAGTGAATTATGAAAGTATTGAACGATGGGCAAAGTGACGACTGAAGTTGTTTTCTTTACCAGTTTAGTCTGGCTTCTACTTGTTCTAGCCCAGTTCACTTGTGGGAAGGTTTAGTACTAGTGTTCACAATAGTTAAGTGTTAACTAGCTTAAGAACATTAGCTCACGTTCTCCCTGCTGTTGGACACCAATGTAAACAAATTGCCCAGTTTGCCAGAATGCACCCTGCTGGATTTCTAACATTAGGGGACAACCAGGGTTCACCTTACACCGGAGATGATTAAAAACAACTTTAAAAGTCTGGATCCCTACCATTTGTTTTTGTTTTCACTGGCTGGGTCATCGGGTTTAGATGCTACTTTCACACTGGGGCAAGACGCTGAAGCTCATCATGCAAAATAAATGATGTCATTTTCACACGTAATCATTTATTGGAACTATATTACTGGCATATAGTAATTCACTATAGTGAATGGTAATGTATATCCTTCAAAGTGAAATACCGGAGTATCAATACTAAAAAGATATGTAAACATGGCATTTATCATTTCAGGTCCATCTTAGCCAGTCACTGTCTTTCTCATTACATATTTGAATGTTAGCCAAAGGTGCTCTCTGTAAATCCAATAATACTTTGACGACTGCTAGTCTGATTGGCTGCTGTGATTTATTCGTGTCCTCGGTCTCTATCAAAGGCATCAAAACCAGACTAGTTGAATCTAGACCTGTGTCTGTTATAGAGGTGTGAATCTTCACTTGTCTCCCGATTCGATTACGATTATTGGGTCAACGATTCAATTCGATTCGATATCCCGATGCATCACGATGCATCACGATTATTTCATATTGATTTGTTTTCATCGATAAATAGAACATGTCAGATAATTGCTTTTTTTAAAAATCAAAAACGTAATTGATACAACCTGCCAGCCCTCAAAAGCTCTCCATTCACAACAGGTTAGGACAAAACATTTAAACATTTAAGAAGATTTAACAAAGCAAAACATCTGTTTCCTCTTTCAACACCACGCCTCAGGCTGAGAAAACATGCTTTACAAAATCTCACAAAATCTAAAAAAGTACTGAAAACCCACAGGACACAACATAATGTAATAATCAGATACAATAATGGGTTCATATATGAGTGTTTAATGTCTCTGAGCAGCTCTAGAGTCAGATATTTATGCCACAGTTGAAGGGTGTCAGAAATAACACCAAATGAAATGTTTGACTTAGTTTATTTTATTTGAACCCAGTGGTTCGTTTCTGAAATGTTGGAGAATGAATCAAGTTCTGTTTGATGCAGAAAATAATAAAACACAAAACAAATTCTACACTTCCAATAATATTTAAGATGTGTGTTTTATTCTTCCTGATAATAACACCAGCAGAAGGCTGTGGGCTGGATTAGGATTAAATTACCCAGGTTATGGATCTCCTTCACTAACCAGCTAACTAAAAACCTTTCCACTAACCTGTCCTGTGTGACCCTCATGTCCATGCTGTCTCTGGAGGAGCAGATAGGAGACAAGTCTCCTGTAACTTAAAATGAACCAAAGCTTCCTCCCAGTTTTTTAAAATAGAATTTAACATCAGTTTATCATCATGAAACAAAATAATAAAGTGGAACAAGAACTTCTTTCTTCTATTTCTCTCCTTCTCTGTGTCCCTAAATAAAAGAGACAGACGATCACGCTGCAGCCACCGTCATTGACCCCGCCCCCTCCCCAAGACCGGATCTCCCTACATTACAACAAGCAGTCTGACTGAGCGCTTCCAGGAGAAATAATAATTAAATTATGAAAATAATAATGCGTGTTTGGAGCATCGGTTTGGAGGAGCGTCCTCCGATCCTCTCGTGTGAGCAGTCCCCCCCCCCCCCCCCAGTTGCTGTGCGAGCGAGCGGAGCGCGCCGCACGACAACCCGCTCAATTCACATAATTCACGGCCCAAATCCAACAGAACCGGTCGGGCTGATTCGGTTCCAGTTCGGTCTCAGGTTACAACTCAAGCGCTCAGCCCTGCAGTACTGTACCACATTAAGGCGGAACCACTTGGTAAATGTGGAGGACGCTCACTCTGACAGATTTGGATCTGCGCTGGTGCCGCCATTAAAAAAACAAAACTACATTCCACTATAATCGATTATGGCGTACTCCTCTACGATGCAGAATCGTTTATGTCCGCATCCCGATGCATCGATTATTTAATTATTTTCCTCAGCTCTAGTCTGTTAGTGCAGCCAACCACGCAGCACACTATTACCAGGTTACTGTCACTTCAGCAGAATAAAAGCTAGAAAGACTACAAAGTTGCTTGTTATGACGCTTTGCAGGTGATTACATTTGTGTGAACAGTCTTCCTGCTGTCTGTCGTGCCTAAGAGGGCAGTCCCATGAGCGGCGTGACATCACATGCAAAAGGTCAAAATGCGGGTGTGTGTATTGACCTTTTTCATGTGACGTCATGCCGCTCACGGTACCGCCCCCTTTGCCATGATGGTTGGCAGACGTGTAGACATGTTGGAACTCCTATGAAGTTAGTGAAAATAAGACAGTTTGTAGCCTTTTATCGCTTTTATTTGGTTGATTTCACAGTAAAAAGGTGATCATTTGCAGCGAGGCTAGCTTCACTAATAGACAAGGTTGTAAATTCAACTCGTATTTCTTTGTTACTTTGATGGAGACTGAGGACTGAGATGAACTGCAGCGATTAATAAAATGGACTAGCAGCCCTCCAGTATTCTGGATTTGCAGCAAACAGGTTTTACTGGGTAAGATGAACATTCATATATTTCATGTGGAAGACCGGGACAGGGACAAATGTCGTGTATGGATGGATATTTCATCATGGAGGACATGCGTTATCGTCCACTGTAGTGTAATGTGAGATAATTATTTATAATAACATTGTTCCAATGCAGTACTATGTGTGTTAGACTAGTGTTATTTATTTAGTATGATGAGCGTTGTCTTTAAGTGGTATCTTGTCTCCTCCCGGTGTGAGAGCAGCAGCTGAACCAAGTGACCCTGCCAGCAATAAAAGCTGGTAGGGATGTAAAAGTGTAATGTAACGTGACACTCTGTTTATCACGTGAATCCAGCAGGCTGAATTCTGGAAAAGTCAGCAACTTGTTTACGTCTGTGAACAGCAGCAGGGACAATGTAAACTAACGTTCATCAGCTAGTTAACAATTAAGTTTGCAAACACTGCTCTCTCTGAGCCCCACAGTGTGCTAAACCTTCACACAAATGAACTGGGCATGATCTAGTAGAAACCAGGCAACACTGGTAAAAAAAACAACAAAACAAACTCAGTCGCTACATTTCCTCTCAATTCTCTCCATAGTTCACTGTTGCCCCACCTAAGTGTGCTACTTCTTCTGATAACCAAACTTAGGTTTAACTAGCTGAAGCAAAGCTAAAGATCACAATAAACAACGGCAACAACAAAAACCATTTCAGACGCTACTTTTCACTTTGTTTAGTATTCGTGTCTGTCACTGTTTACATGCTTTTGTCAATCAATATGGTGGATTCACATGATTAGGTGACATAGATGTGTGTGTGTGTGTGTGTGTGTGTGTGTGTGTGTGTGTGTGTGTGTGTGTGTGTGTGTGTGTGTGTGTGTGTGTGTGTGTGAAATTTCATTTTCAGTTTCATTTTAAATGTCGTCAAATAGAATATTTGATTAATCGATGGAGGTATCGATAGAATATTGGACAGCTGCAGCCCTAGTTTCCATCTTCTGTCTGCCCCTTCACAAAGAGCCCTGCTTTGGTGATTTGGATCAAATGTGTGAGAGAAAACTAAACCATCAATCAGGCACAAATTGAAAAGCTGTTTGTGTAACATTAATGTTCTTTTTCAGTGACTAAAGGTAAGTAGCTACAGCAAATGGACCCTATTCACCTTATTCCTAGCCTCCTTGATCCATTGTGTTAAATTTGCGACCGACTTCAGGTCGATTGTTTAACACTGAGACCACAGATGTATCGTGCAATCTGCGCTAATCCTCTTTTTATTGGCTTTTAGAGATGACCCTATTTTGGGGTTTAAATAAATAAAGCCCTGACTTTAAACACCTCAATACAGTATTGTAAATAAACATCAAACATTTGCTCATACATAAAGCTAACCATCGTCCACACCGGTATTAAGACAAAAGTTGTCGTCTTGACACCAAACCCCCCCCCCCCCCCCCCTGCATGTGATCTGGCATCAGTTTTGTCCTGAGTGAACTTTGGTCTCACATCGCTGTTTGCCTTGCAGCAATGTTTATTTACAAATGAAGCACAGTTTCTACATGAGTCTGGTGAATAAGGTGAAAAATTCATGATAACAGATTACTGTATCAATCCATGTTTGTTTTATTCTGATGGTGTCAGGTTTGGTTGTGCTTGGTCTTCTCTGACATCTTTGATCACCAAAGCAGGGAACTTAAGAAGGTGGGAGAGAACGTACAGGAGAAGAGTTGTGTGCTTCTCATGGTGCCTGAAGCTGCGTGCACTGTTTGGTTGGCAGTCACTCACTCAAACACATTTGACTCGCTAACAGAGGCTATGTGCCTTCTTGCGTTTAGAGTGACTGCAGAAAACACGTTTGAGTTTTTAAACAGTTAATAGTGAGCGAGCAACAGACTTGTAATACTTACAGAATGCATCAACAGATGTTGACTCGAGTGTCTAACATGTGTTCTTTTGTGTCTTTCAGGTTTTATGTTGTTTGTCGACCTCTACTGAACTATCATTTTGGACTCCTCTATCTTTTGTGCTTCTATCCTGCTCTGCCTTGCCCCATCAGATTCGCTATAGCTGCTGGTGGGGTTTTGAACCAAACTTTTATGGATACAATGTTTTATGGATACAAACTTTTATGGTGACAAACTTTTATGGTGACAAAGTTTTATGGATACAAAGTTTTATGGTGGCAAAGTTTTATGATTTTGTGGTGACAAAGTTTTATGGATACAAACTTTTATGGCTACAAAATATTTTTGGTCTTATGGTTCTGCGAAACCAGCCCTGCTGTGAGATTTGACATTGATAAGAACTACATCTAAAGCAATACGCTTTGGCATTCACTTTGGAAATTTGGCTTTGAATGAATAAAAACAACCAACACACTGGAAACATCTAATTTGAGTAAACTTTAAGATATAATATTTAAACTACTCTTACACATAAAGATAAACTTTTCATAGACTGAATATAATTGGTTTGTTGAGATTTGTCTTGCTTGAGATCAGCTCAAATTTATTGATCTCCAAAAACACAAAATTGTTTGAAAACAGTGCTTGAAATTAAAGTTTTATAATTGATAAATTTATAAACATACATCTAAAAACACACATTTACTGTAAAAGCACTGTTACTAGCTAGTGACCCGCTGGTGCTGACTCTGGACTGACTGCAGGTTTGTACTCAGGTTTGTGTTAAGTAGATATTTGTAACTGAAAAATTAGAAAATAAATACATATAAATAAAGTATTTCTTCTCTTTGTTTAATATTTGGATTTTTGGGAGAAAAAAAGGCCTAATAGCATTGCTTACATATATATAAACATCTAGTACATATTGCTAGCTGTTTCTTTAATATTCATAAACAGTTTTTACATTTATATACAGTTCAAAGTTATCTGTTCCAGTTTCTACATACGTTTCATATATATTTGTTTATAGAGATATCAGTTGTATTTGTTAGTTATTAGGAATTATTTTTTAATTCTACTGGTGCTAAAGTATTTTACAAAGAAAACTATTTGCAAAGGTTTTTTTTGCTTCCTTTGCTAACATTTATTTGACTTAGAAAGATACAAATACTAAAGTCTGTGATTGTGCTTCACAATTTGACCATTGTTAACTCAAATATACAAATTTTATTACATTAGAAAAGTATTCCCTGATCCTGAATCCATTATTTAACTTTTACTGACTACAGGATTAGTTTCACTGGTGATTTGTGAAGAGTGAACAACTTGATAATAACATAAAAACATCTGGACTGAAGACCTGTTGTGGCCGTTTCCTGTCTGAAGTGAATCTACAAGCAGTTGAATCCAGAAACTTGTCACCTGCTGTCCAGCTGTGTTGGTTATAGTCGCTGTTTAAGTGGTTCTTGTGTTTCAAAATAGACGTTGTTGAAACTTTATTTAACTGTGTTAGAAATCAATAGCTACTGCTGATAAAAGCTTAGGTTGGTGTGTAGTTACAGTTTAAAGTCAACGTTTAACAGTTGTTACAGAGTTCAGTTACATTTAAGCATATAGACATAAGTGTATAGATAGGTGTTGATATATAGACCTGGTAAGGATAAGAGTTGTGGAAACTGACAACCATTAGATCTAAACTGGGTGATTTGTGTGCGCTCATTCAGACACATTTAATAGTTTAAAAGATCATCCTTCATATTTGAAATAGTACTTTTAAGGTTTACTTTTGTGTATTATATACGTTTTTCTTTCTTAAATACACATTTTCAAAGGTAAATCCCATATACCATTTGTTATTTGATTAATTAAACTTCCTGTGCTGTGCCCGAGTTACACAGTATTCTCATTTTTTTATTTGACAAAGTATTTCATTTGAATCTATTTCCGTGTTTAATACAAGTACATTATTAGTTGGACATCTTAATAGAATTACAGTTCACAGAAGCAGAGTTTATTGGTAAATAATTTGTCTTGGCTTAACATTGGTTTAGGTTCGTAGTTGTAAGTTTATTCCTTTACAAGGAAACTATAACTTGTTATATTTAAGTAAGCACATTTTTATTGGCTGTAATTATAGTGGGTATCAGAAACCACTGGTTTGAGTTGTGAGGTGGTTATTACAATAAGTTTCACATTAAAGTCTTTGTGGTTTTCCAGGATTATAAAAATGCCCAGAAAGAACAAGAGGTCTCAGTCTGCAAAGACCAGATGGCATAAGCTCACGGAGTCTGGCTCAGGTGAACAGGTTGATGTTCCTCAGACAACTGGAGATGCATATGCTGATGTTTTGAGAGGACTTCAGAGTCACATCGTACCTGATCCACATCAAGTACATCACAGTGCTGCAGCTGGACCATGTCAACCTAGTGAGCAGGCTAATGTTCACAGTCCTGATGTCCGACAAACTCCTGGAACTAGACCCTCCTATGCTGATGCTTTGAGAGGACACCAGAGTCATGTCATGAACTCAGAGGCTGCTACGTGTCAGGTAAATCAGAGTGATGCTGCTGGACCATCTCAGATACCTGCCCATGTCCATCCACCTTCAGGGACAAGTGTGTGTGCGACCAGGAGTCAGGCTTCAGCTGTTTATGGTGAGTACAGAAACAAGCAGTGTGCCCCAAACTCTTTGGTGTTTTTATCCTTCCTACATGAGAGTGAGACAATTACCAGCTCAGATCTGAACCTGGTGTTGGATAAAGGTAATGTGATGTACGCACAAGCTAGGCTACTTCATCCAACTAGTGTACACCTGGCTACAGACGAGTTACCTGCTGAGGTTACAGCTCGTATGACTCATTATCACATCACCATGAGGTTAACTGGTACCAGATATGGGAATTTTTTAGAAGGAGGTAATCTTCCTAGTCTTGTTCAAGGACTAAGCTGTTTGACTGCAGAAGTTCAGTATGCATTAATGTTCATGGGAGGAAACTGCATAGCTGTATTCAGAACCAGATCAGGAGAATACGGGTACTTTGATCCTCACCCCCGTTCTGCTCGTGGTCTTCTTCCCAAATGTAAACCTGGTACAGCTGTCATGTTAAAGTTCACACGTTTAACAGACATGATTAACAGAATCACTCATTTATACACATCTATTGGTGTATCTGGGTCTTGCTATTATGAAATCCAGTCAGTGGAGTTTAAGAGTGAGAACGCTGCTCCAGACAGAGACTCAACTGCTGCTGAGACCAACTCGCTGACAGAGATCGAACTAGTGGCAACAACTAAGCAAACTGGTAATCAACAAGTTACATCAAACACCCAAGAGTCTACTCCAGATGAGTCAGACCTGGCAGGTGAAGTGATGAACCACGCTGGTCCCTCTGTTTGCTCTGACACCCTGATGACATCATCTGAGCCAGAAGCTGCTTGTGAAGCAAGTGCTACTGTAGATCAAACTGCTGATTCATTAACTCAGAGAATGTTATCAAAACGTAATAAACAAGAACAATTAAAAATCTTGCGGCGATTATCTGTGTCAAAGAAGCCATCACAGAGAAAGGAAAATCAGAAAAAGAGAGAAAGGCAGTTGTATGCTACTGACGAAAGGTTTTATTCTAAAAAGAAAATGTATTCCAGGACATATGCTAACAGTTCAGATGTCAGACATGAAAAAAGTCTCTACAATAAGAATCTGTATAAGAAAAACACCAGTTATCAAGCGAAACAACAACACAATATCAGGAAGCTTTACAGAGAAATGGCTGACTACAGAGAAAAGCAAAAATCATACATGAGAAGCCTTTACAGACGATGTGAACAGGTTAGACAGAACAAGAAATCTTACATGCAAAGCCTTTACAAAGAAAGTGAACAAGTTCGACAGAAAAAGAAATCTTACATGCAAAGTCTTTACAGGGAAAGTGAACAAGTTCGACAGAAAAATAAATCTTACATGCAAAGTCTTTACAGGGAAAGTGAGCAAGTTCGACAGAAAAAGAAATCTTACATGCAAAGCCTTTACAGGGAAAGTGAGCAAGTTCGACAGAACAAGAAATCTTACATGCAAAGCCTTTACAGGGAAAGTGAACAAGTTCGACAGAAAAAGAAATCATTCATTAAAGAGCGTTATGCATCTGATCTATCATTCCGGCTCAGACACAGAGAACTGATGAAACAGCTGATGAGAGACTATTACAATAACAATGATCTCTTTAGAAGGAGTCATAATTCTAGACGTTCTTCGAAAATAAAAAGAAAATACAGACGGATAAATTTACATATGCAGAGGTCAGGAGGTGAAACACAAAGTAGAGTGACCAACCAACCATTATCTGTTTGTGAGCCAGAGAACCCACAGATGAATGAAGCTATAGCTGTTTTCAGATCAAATATTAAATCTGGACCTACTTATGTGTGCACGTCGTGTGAGAAAGCTTCGTTCCGTAACCAGGTGAAAGTCTGCAACAGGTCAAATTATACAAAGTATCCATCTGTAGTTGCACAATGTCTGACTGGAAAGTTTCTACACATCTGTGGTGAAAGTTGTAATGAACCATGTTCTGTTCCTTTGGAGAGGAAGCATGAATGGATCTGCCACACGTGTCATGACTACATTAGAAAGGGCTCCATCCCACGCCTGTCTGTTGCAAACCAAATGGGTCTGTCAGAGATTCCACAGGAGTTAAAAGATCTGAACATCTTGGAACGACATCTGATTTCTAAATCTATTCCTTTTGCTAAAATTGTTCCACTCCCAAAAGGCCGTCAGAGACAGATAAGAGGTAATTTGGTGTGTGTTCCATCAGAAGTCCAAGAAACAGTGGATGCTTTACCCCGACTGAGAAGTGAATCTCAAGTGATGAGGGTCAAATTAAAGAGGAAGCTGTGTTATAAAGGCCATCAGCTATTCCAGACTGTAACCTGGTCTAAACTCATGCACGCTCTGCTCACATTAAAACAGATTCACCCACAGTATGCAGACATAACCATCAGAGACGATCCTCTGCTATGTGATCCAACAGGTGACAGCAGTGATGATGATGATAGCAGCATGGACTGTGGTGATTATGATGAAGATGACCTAATGCAGATTGATAACTTTGAGCAAAATGCAGTGACTGAAGCAGCAGGTGATGAGGAATCTGAACAGGTCATGACTTCTGATGACGATGAGCAGAACGTACAGAATGAAGCAGAATCCCAACAGAATGATGAAGGACAAGACTCAGATCTACCTAATGGAGGTTTTGCTCTAGAATCGTGCCTTCAGCCTCTAGACATTGCAGAGGAGATCCTGTGTTACAGTGACAGCACGTATTGTGTTGCACCCGCAGAAAGAAACAGTCCAGTCAGCTTCTTCAGGACACCCAAACTGGAGGCCATGGCTTTTCCTGTTCAGTTCCCTACTGGTCAGAACACTCTGGATGAACCGAGGCGTATTAAAGTCACACCCAGCTCTTATTTCAAGTCCAGATTGTTTCACATTGATGACAGATTTGCGAGAGACCCCAACTACTTGTTTTTTGCACAGTTTGTGACTGAGATCCACCTGGCTAACTCCAACATGATCATACAGCTGAGGAAAGGTAAAACTATGAGCAGAGATGGGCGGAGAATAACTTCTTCTATGTTACAGAATAAACATGAGGTTCAGAGACTGGTGAGAAATAAAGATGCAGTCAGATTTATGCAAACTCTGAGAGGAACACCAGCATACTGGCAGAAAACCACTAAAGATCTGTTTGCCATGATCAGACAGCTGGGAACTCCAACGTTCTTTTGCACCTTCAGTGCTGCTGAGATGAGGTGGAGGGAAATCATCACAGCTATAAAGAAGCAGCAAGGTGAACAGGTTGATTTTGAAAGTCTTGACTGGTCCTCAAAATGTGAAATCTTGAGATCTAATCCAGTTACAACCATGAGGATGTTTGACAAACGTGTGGAAGCTCTGTTCAGAGACCTGCTCATGTCCCCTGCTCAGCCGCTTGGTGAGATTGTCGACTTCTTCTACAGAGTTGAGTTCCAGCACAGAGGAAGTCCTCATATACACATGATGCTCTGGGTTCGTGGTGCTCCTGAATGTGACAAAGATTCTGATCAAGCCGTCTGTGATTTTGTAGACAGATACATCTCAGCACAGCTGCCTGACCCAGAAACACAACCAGAACTCCACAAGAAAGTCACAGAAGTTCAGAAACACAGCAGGAACCACACCAGGACCTGTTTTAAGACCATGAACTCTGGCTGTAGATTTGGGTTCCCTAAACCACCCTGCAGGAGAACAATGATTAGCAGAACCGATGAGGAACATGACCAAGCTACTGCTAAACAGAAACTCAGAACTTTGGTGAGTCTGCTCAATGAACCAGAAGCTGCATCACTGACTTTAGACCAGATTCTGTCTCGATGCACTTTAACCATGAGTGAGTATGAAGAATGCATCCAGTCCATGAACAGAAAGACGGCCCTGATCCTGAAGCGAGATGCAAAAGACAGCTGGATTAACAACTACAATCCACATCTGCTAGAGGCCTGGGACAGTAACATCGACGTGTCTTTTATCCTGAATGCATATTCATGTGTGGAGTATCTGACCAAATACATCACAAAGAAGGAAAGTGGGCTTTCTGACTATCTGTCTACAGTGATCAGTAGCTCTAACATGGATGGAGTCAATGAGTGTGAGGAGATGAAAGCAGTCATGCAGGCTTATTCTAAGAAAAGAGAGATCAGTGCTCAGGAGTGTGTGACTCGTGCTTGTGGTCTTAAGATGAAAAAATGTTCACGCAGCATTGTTTTTGTCCCCACTGATGACAACCCAGTGAAAATGAGCCGTCCCATGTCTTTCCTGGAGAACACGACACCAGACAGCTGCAACATCTGGATGACAAGTCTGAATGACAAATACAAATCCAGACCTGAGACTCCAGAGTACGAGGAAATGTGTTTAGCTGATTTTGCAGCAACATGCAGGTTTGTAAGTGAAAAAGAAAGTGTGCGCAAAGATGTCCTCCCTCTCCTCAACCAGCTGGGATTTGTGCAAAGGCGTCAGAATAATAAGCCTTGTGTCATCAGGTTTTATCACTGCTCTAAAGAGAAACACCCAGAGGAGTTTTACGGAAGACTGCTGAGACTTTACCTTCCACACAGATCAGAGCAGGAACTGAAATCACGCCGATTACAAACTCATCAGTCCTACTACAAGTCCGGCTGGGTCCGACTACCAGGTTCAGAACATTCTGAGTTTGTCAAGGACATTGTCACCAGAAACCAGGACAAATATGAACGCAACAGTAAAGAGATCGAGTCTGCTCTTGAGGAATTTGAACGGGACAGAGGTGAAGGTTGTGATGAGTGGTCTAATCTTGCTCCAGAATCTGAAGTTGTGAGACTGCAGTGCGATGACCAGCCAGAGGACCAACAGGAGGATGTTCCAGACTACTGTGCTCCACCTGCAGCAGAAGTCAGAGCTGTCAGAGAAACACCTGCCATCGATCCCACTGTGTTGCGTCAGATGTACCAGAATCTAAACCAGAAGCAGGCCTGTGTGTTCTATGCAGTCAGAGACTGGTGTATTAAACGTGTGTGCGGCCTCAATCCAGATCCATTCTTTTTCTTTTTGGAGGGAGGTGCTGGTACTGGCAAATCCATGGTTGTCAGATGCATTCACTCTGAAGCATCCAAGATTCTGAGCAGACTGCCTGCCGAGGATGTTGACCTTTCAAACCCAACTGTTCTGCTGACGTCATTCACGGGAACTGCTGCGTTTAACATCGGTGGCACCACACTGCACTCGCTCCTCAAACTACCCAGAAGCCTGAAACCTCCCATTCAAGGACTTGGTAACCAGCTAGATGAAGTCAGGTGTGAACTTCTGAATGCAGAAATCCTTGTTATCGATGAGATTTCCATGGTTTCAAAGCCTCTGTTTGCCTACGTGGACGCTAGACTGAAACAGATTAAAGGAAACCAGAGACCATTTGGTGGAATGTCAGTTTTAGCTGTTGGAGATTTTTATCAGCTACCACCAGTTCGACAGTCTAAGCCCCTCTGTGTCTATGACCCATCAGACATTGACCTTTGGCAGCCATATTTTCAGATGGCAAGTCTGACTGAAATCATGCGGCAGAAAGATGATGTTGCCTTTGCAGAGATGCTGAACAGGATCAGAGTGAAGGAAAAGACAGATGAGCTCTCTCCAGCAGACAGAGATATGCTATCACGCACCATCACTGAACCAGAACTCTGTCCCTCTGATGTGCTGCACATTTTTGCCACCAACAAGGATGTGGAAGCTCATAACTCAGCAACACTGGAACGGCTGCACGATAACATCATCACAATAGATGCAGATGACTTCCAGAAAGACCCACGAACTGGCAGAATGGAGAGGAAAGACACACCTTTGAAAGGAGGAAGAGGTGAATTGTCTGACTGTCTGAAAGTGGCTGAAGGAGCTCGAGTCATGCTGACGAGAAACATCAATGTCCAGGATGGCCTGGTTAACGGTGCTTTTGGTAAACTGGTTAGAGTGATAGCTTCTGAAATAGACCCCCAGCACATTTTTAAACTTGCTCTGAGAATGGATAACCAGTCATCTGTCAGGAGCAACCGCCATGGAGCTTCTGGGTCTGATGATCTTGTTTACATCGAGAGAGCAGAGGACAGCCTGAAGCAGAGAGGAGGTGTACGCAGACAGTTTCCTGTAAGACTGGCTTTTTCCTGCACCACTCACAAAACTCAGGGTCTCACGACACATGCAGCTGTGGTCTCACTGAAGAACATCTTTGAACCTGGAATGGCATACGTGGCTCTGAGTAGGGTGACTAGCCTCGGTGGACTGTATCTCCTGGGTTTGGATGAGAGAAAGATCTACGCCAATCCTGATGTGACTGCAGCACTCCAGAGCATGAGACAGGCCAGTGTGGATCAAATGATGCCTCTTCTTCTGGTGAGAGAAGCAGTAAGCAGACCTGACACTTTGACCCTAATTCACCACAACACAGAGGGTTTACCGGCTCACATCAATGACATAACGAGTCACCACGAACTGTCTTTAGCAGATGTGTTGTGTCTGACAGAAACACACCTGCAAGGTTCTTTTGTTGCAGAAAGTCTTGTTCTGGATGGCTACACCATGTTCAAACGCAGCAGACACCAGTCCTACACCAAGTTTCCTCAGATGGCCTGCAAGAGTGGTGGTGGAGTTGCTGTTTATGTGAAAAACCACATTCACGTCCGTGAGAAACGCTATGTGCACAATGTGACTGATCTGGAGTTTTTGGTTTTGAAGGTTGAGACACCGTTTCCAGCTCTGATTGCAGTCATTTACCGACCTCCAGACTACATCATGAGACCATTCATGGAGAACTTGGTAAGCCTTTTAGACTCTCTAGAGGTCATGGACTGTCATCCAGTCATTGTATGTGGCGACTTTAATGAGAATCAGTTTTCAGGTGGAAGGAAGCAGATTGTAGAGCACTTTCAGTCCAGGGGGTATGCACAGATGATCACTTCCGCCACCACAGACAAGAACACACTGCTTGACCTTGTTTTTATCTCTCAGCCCCAGAGGAGCTTACATTGTGGTGTCCTGAGAACCTATTATAGTTACCATGACCCGGTTTTCTGTGTGTTGTCCTCTAGCCAACCATGAAGTGAGGTGAGTTTTAATCATGGACAAGTGGAGTGACGTGTTAATGCAGAATAATGTTTTATTTTGAAAGTTTGATGATTTAACAGGATTGAATCAAATCTTTTCTAGTATAAAGTCTGTCTGAAATGAGAATCATGAAGTTTCACTTTGCTTTTAGCCTATATTTATAATCACAGTTTAAAGCATAAGTTATTGGATGACAGGTCATAATTATGGAACATGACAATGCATTTTTCTGATTGTTCTAAATATTGTAAATCACTACGTTGTTCATGTAATTACATTTTCTACCTTTTTATTACTATGGATTCATGTTTTCTACTACAAACAATTTTATTCAGAACATTTTTACAGATAAAATCTATATGAAAACTGATTTAGACAATGGCGGTCTGTGCATTTACCTGGGTGGGTGGGTTAAGGGAGGGTAAATGCACAGGTCCGACCATTGACTGCATAAAACCAGCCGGCACCCCACTAAATAGGGGGAAGGGGTGGTTGGGTGGGGGTAAATTTTCTTTTTTTGTTAGGTTTTTGGAAGATTTATCTCACACAGGAGACATGTTCTCCTGTATCCTTTGATAAAACACCTTCAAGCTTCTTCAACATCAGCACAACCCAAAACATCTCAGCATCAGCTTCATGAACTGATGAGTCAAACCTGCACCGCCATTGCTGGACCACACAGGGACATCACAAAGACTGCTGTTCCACGAGCTCTCATCCCACAGGATACAGCTCCTGTCAACCACCACCTGACCTTCTGGCTCTAAGAGCTTCACCTTGCTGCTGCCACTCTCTACACCCGCTGTTCTGAACCATCAAAGACATCTCTGCCTCCTGCCAGGGTCCAGGATCATCTCAGATGATGGAAGGTGTCAAATCTTTCCTGTTAATAATGTTATTAAATGCTAAATATTTCCTTCATGATGTTTAATGAAGTAGAAAAAATGTGTTCTCCAGTTTCAGGTGTATGAATGTTAATTATTGTCTATTTGCAGGTTTCTTCTGCCTTCATGTTACATCTGAGAGCACTGAACCAACTGAAACATTTATCAACACTCAGTGACATCTGGGTGTGGGACAGACCTGGTCAGGAGATGTTTATTTTCTTTTGCAGGACTCTAAGGTATTTGATAACATTTGATCATTAGTTTCATATGTTGGTGCTTTAACACTAATGTAATATTTTATTTCTCTGTATTGTTGGTACAGTCTCTTCCTTGATGCCTGCATATCCTCCTCTGAGATTCCTCTGTGTCACCGTCTGACCTCGTCTGACTCTGGTTGCTGCAGAGATGCTGTTCATACTCATTTCCTACTTCACTTTTGCAGCATCATGTCTACCTCATGAGGCATAAAGGTAACAAATCAACATTTTTACCTCCTTGGTTTAAAACACATTTCTATTTGAGTAACAAACGTGTTCTCTGTGTTCTTGTCTTAAATGCCTGTAGCTGAACGTCCTGTGCTACAGCAGCAAACACTGAAGCCGCAGGTTGTTGCACCAATAAACATCCACTCTGGCATGATCACACTAACATCTTAACACGGACACTCATTCAGCTGACGGTTTCCATCAGCAGATCCAGGAAACAGGAAAATGTCCCATATGATCAAACTGGAACTCAGCACTCATTTCAAGGCTGTCTCCACTTTATTTTGTCACCTGTCAGTTAAATGAACCATTTATCTATAATATGTATCTGATACATTATAGTTTTCATTTGCTTTAGTTTCTCCTCTCTGTTATTATTGTTAAAGGATAATGTAGAACTACAATGATGGAGGTAGCCCTGTGACAGGCTAACCCAGTGTTAACACTGACCAGTAGGCGGGTTTAGGCAAGGCAAGACTCACACAAACATATCATATGGTCACCTGCATCAGTGTCAGGTGCTGTCTGATCCAAACCCAGCAATCTTGTAAATATAGAACATCCCTACTTTAATACTTTATGTACTGAAATTGTTAAATTCCAAACAAGTAAAAATGAGTAAGCAGCTCCACTTTCTATCTGCTCTGTGCTTGAGTGAGTCCTGTCTGGGTGTGGGGTGTCGGCTGATATGTAGGTATAGGACAGGTGTTCCACATATGTGCTGTGACACCAGGTAAACTCATACAACACACCTCAGTGTTGAGATGGGAGTCAAACTGAAAGTATTCAAAGATGAACCGGTCATATCTAGTGAAGTGGGGGCTTTTTGATAAAAAATCTGACCTCAGGTCATACAGGTGACCAGGATTCTAAGATACATTAAACCAAACATCCCAAATTTAGGTATTTATCATGATTTTGATCTGTTTTAAACTCATTTTAAAGAACAGCTGTGGTATCAGAACACATTGTGTAAATATTTTAGCTTAAGGTTAACCATTAAGGTTTAACTAAACCATTTTTCACTTTTACATTTACAAGTTTTATAGAATACATTTTATTTTATTTATTTAACTAGTTCTCTGACTCACTAACTGCAACCAAAGCCCTGACATGTTCTCCTCTTTCCCCAAAAAATCTGAACTAGGGAGCATTTATAAAACTATGACAAACAAACAATCCTAATTCATGAATTACTGACCAATTTATTAACTCAGTTGACAGTATTTAAGATAATACTGAATTGTGCACACACACACACACACACACACACACACACACACACAAACATTAAGTGGAATGTTACCCTACGTACAGTGTGCTGCATTCACCTTTTAAGTTTTTAGTTTCCAAGTCAGAATAATGTTTAAGTTTTCTTTTTTGTGTTGGATGTCAGTGAGCTCATGCCTTCATCATAAATATACTTTGTTCTTAAAATAGTTTGAGTTAAAAAAACAAATGTTGTGTTCAGCTTAAAGCATGTCTCCACAGTACAAACAGGTGCCGTTGTCATAGTTAAATTATAATCATAATGATTATAATTTAAGGATGGTTGGTACAAGCTTCCATATCTGTAATTTTATAGTCTTTTTTATAACTGACTTTTCTTTTAATCATTTTGACCTCTGAGTTTTGTGTTTTAAGTCCTTCTTATTAGTGAAACCTTCTTTCAAACATTCATTTTCTAAAACATTTTTTTTCATTATTTTAACAAGGTTTTAAAATGTGCATTAGTGTTAAATGCTATAAGCTTTTGTCATTTTTTTCTTTAAATTCACTTGAAATTCTTTTAATTTGAAAACATGAAATTATTTTAATTATTTTTCTCATATTTTAAAAAAATTACTTGATTGATTTTATAAATTGTAATAATTAAATTTTCAATATTTTTTGTTCTTTTACTGTATTTTTTTTAATTTTTTATTATGCTGTCCTACAACTTTAACGTTTAAATAAATATGCTATTAGAATTTGCCGTGAATTATATTAACATTTTACTTCTAAACTAACCTGTTTTAACTCAAATTTTCTGTATTTCAATAAAAAAAATTTAACTTAAAAACATTAAATACTTCCTGGATTTATCACAATTTCTTTCTGGTCCACTCACTTTTATTTTTGATTAGTTGAGAGAAATTTAACAATTTAGAGATTTCAAGTCTGTTTCATTACGTTTTATACTGTTTTAAACTATGTGAAGCAATTTTTGATTCTATGTCTATGCTAAGTGCTTTATAAATAAACTGTACATCTATTGTGACCATTTTACTGATTTTCATTTTTTGTTGTTGCATCCTTTTTATATATATATTTTTTAAACTAGTCCTACTCAAATAACAGATATTTAAACATTTCAGCTGTCCAGTTTTTAAAATAGAGTTCAGTCATTTAAATTTGCTACTGTTTAGGATTTTTTTCTCCAGTCTTCACCTACTTTTTCGACTTCATTACACTTGTTCATTATTTTTCCTTCTAAATCGTTAAATACATTCAGCTCCTTTTGACAGTTTTGCTTAGATTCAGCTTCAATTGAGCTATTCAGCAACTTCTGCAATTAGTTTCTGAATTCAGCATATGATGCTAATTTCACAGTTCAGCTAAATGTAAAAATCAAACTGTTAAACTAGTCCTACTGAAATAGACATTTTAGATGTCCAATTTTTTTAAACAGTGTTCACAGATTTGAGTTTTCTGCTATTTAGGATTAGGTTTCTTGATTCTTCACTTACTTTTTGTGCTTTTTTTGCTTCTTTGTGCTTTTTGCTCTCACATCTTTCACTACATTCAGCTCATTTGACAGTTTAGCTTAGTTTCAGCTTCAGCTATTCAACAACTTCAGCAATCAGTTACCAAATTTAGCATAAACAGCTAATTTCAGAGTTCAGCTAAATGTAAAGATTAAACTTTTAACCTTGTCCAATTGAAATAACAGGTGTTTAGACATTTAAGCTGTCCAGATTTTTATACAATGTTCACAGATTTAAGTTTTTTGCTATTTAGCATTATTTTTCTCTATTCTTCAATTACTTTTTGTGCTTTATCTGCTTGTTGGTGCTTTGCTTCTACATCTTTCAAGACATTCAGCTCATTTTGACAGTTTTGCTTCGTTTCAGCTTCAGTTAAGCTGTTCAGCAGCTTCAGCTCAGCTGTTCAGCAGCTTCGGCTTACAGTTTCAGCTATCCAGCATTCAAACAGCATTTGTGCAATAAATGCAATTTTTCTAGTTCTTCTGCTTATTCTGCTTCCGTACACTTTTTGAACCGCTTCTTCTCCTTCAAATTTTGAGCTATTTCAACTATTTTATACCAAAACGTTCAGCTCGTTAAGCTCTTTCCGGCTATTACTTTTGGCATTGATATCTTTAAAATTTTTCGAGTTATTAAGCTTTTTCTGCAAAAAATTTCCCATTGAAATAAATGGGATTGGTCAATTTTCAGCAAATTCCTATCACTTTTTTGACCTAAAACTCTACTGGGTTCCTTTTAACTCAGAGACTTCATTCAAAGTTTAACAAACTCACAAGACTTTCCTGTTTAACATATTAAAGAGGCTTTTTGATATCTTTTACGGTTTTTCTAAAATCACAGGTAGAAGTTGAGGTACGACTTGAAATTTTCAGAAAAAAATCACAAAAGTTATAATGGGGAAAGATAGGAGCAGTGACCCTCCCTTGCTCCATTTCTGGCATTGTAGCAAGAGAACCGTAGGTCCGATTGAAATGAAACACACACTGGCTTACAGCTAACAAAAATACCTTCGTTTTGAGCTATAATCCATGACTGTACTCCAAACATTGTGGTCGTACGGTTAACTTGTTTGAGAAAATTCAAATTTAAAAAAATGTCTCTCCCCACTGTAAACTGAAGATTCCGCACTCTAACTTTTGAACTTCACATCTTCTGTGAACAACTCTTTACTACCCCCAGACCGTTTGGACAACCAAAACAAATTATAACTCAAAAAGTAGGAATTTTTGTCAGCTTTTCAGAATGGGTTTCATTTTCTCTGTAGGTGTTACCGTTCTTTAGCTACAAGCCTCAGAAGGAGGAGAGACCCAGATTATGTCTCATTGAAACCCATGTTAAAGGAAGAGAGATTTTCTCCTGAGATCGGCTTCACACAGCTAAAAGTTTCTCGTCATAGCTTCTAGATAATTCATGGTAGGCACATACAAATCGGCACAGATGATCATCAAAGTCTTCTGCCACTCACGCTTTTTGAATTTTTCAAATCGGTGCAGTACTTTTCGAATGGTAATGAGAAGTTTGACAGGTCCAATTTCACTTCTGAAGGACAGATTTTAAGGCTTCTCTCATTAACAGGAGTACAGCTGCAGGCCTCCAACAGCCAAGGGGAAAAGGCGGGAAAACAGTGCTGCTCTCTGATTGGTTGAGAGTGTTCAACCATTTTCTGTCCAATCAGGATCCAGCACCCACACAAATGACACATCAAATCGACCAGTTTGGTCTCAGGAATCTTGTATTCAATTTTAAATGCGTTATCTGTTACCATGGCAACACAAGAAGCTACATATCACTTTAATCAAGTCTCATAGGAATGAATATTAAAAAGCTGAATGTTGAGCCAAAAACAGACTCCTGTTTTTGATCTTTTTGAACCATTTGTACTTCAAACTAGAAACATGTTCAATTTGATTGACCGTCAGAAGGTGGGAAAGTGCCCCGCTCCCTCCCAGCTCCCTGATTGGTTGAGAGAGGTCAATCATCTTCCGGCTAAATGGAATTACACACCCACGCATGTGAGGCATCAAATCGATCGGCTAGGCCTAAGGAATCCATCCATCCAACCAACCAACCAACCAACCATCCATCCATCCATCCATCCATCCATCCAGCCAACCAACCATCCATCCATCCATCCATCCAACCAACCATCCATCCATCCGTCCTATCCCTGCATCCATCCATCCATCCATCCATCCATCCAACCAACCAACCAACCATCCATCCATCCATCCAACCATCCATCCAACCGACCAACAGACCAACCATCCATTCATCCATCCATCCATCCTTCAATCCCTCCATCCCTCCATCCATCCAAGCAACCAACCAACTAACCAACAGACCATCCATCCATCCATCCATCCATCCATCCATCCATCCAACCAACCAACCATCCATCCATCCATCCATCCATCCAACCAACCAACCAACCAACCAACCAACCATCCAACCATCCATCCATCCATCCAACAGACCAACCATCCATCCATCCCATCCATCCATTCATCCATCCATCCATCCAACCAACCAACCAACCATCCAACCATCCATCCATCCATCCAACCGACCAACAGACCAACCATCCATCCATCCATCCATCATTCCATCCAACCAACCAACCATCCAACCATCCATCCAACCAACCAACCAACCCCATACACTTAAAACTAAAGTAGCAGCATAGCTGACATTTTAACGCTAGTCAGCTCATTTGAACAGTTTTGCTTAGTTTCAGCTTCAGCAATTAGTTTCTGAATTCAGCATATGATGCTTATTTCACAGTTCAGCTAAATGTAAAAATTAAACTGTTAAACTAGTCCTACTGAAATAACAGGTGTTTAGACATTTTAGCTGTCCAATTTTTTAAACAGTTTTCACAGATTTGTTTTCTGCTATTTAGGATTAGTTTTCTTGATTCTTCACTTACTTTTTGTGCTTTTTTTTTTTTTGCTTCTTTGTGCTTTTTGCTTTCACATCTTTCACTGCGTTCAGCTCATTTAACAGTTTAGCTTAGTTTCAGCTTACTTCAGCTATTCAACAACTTCAGAAATCCGTTTCTGAATTCGGCTTATGCTACTCATTTCACAGTTCAACTAAATATAAAAATTAAACTGTTAAACTAGTCCTACTCAAACAACAAGTGTTTAGACCTTTTTGCTGTCCAGATTTTTAAATAATGTTCAGATTTCAGTTTTCTGCTGTTTAGGATTGATTTGTCCGGTCTTCACTTTTTGTGCTTTATTTACATTTTGGTGCTTTTTGCTTCTAAATCTTTCAAAACATTCAGCTCATTTTAACAGTTTTGCTTAGTTTCAGCTTCAGCAATTAGTTTCTGAATTCAGCATTTGATGCTAATTTCACAGTTCAGCTAAATGTAAAAATTAAACTGTTGAACTAGTCCTACTAAAATAACAGGTGTTTAGACATTTTACCTGTCCAATTTTTTTAGACAGTGTTCACAGATTTGAGTTTTCTGCTATTTAGAATTAGTTTTCTTGATTCTTCACTTACTTTTTGTGCTTTTTTGCTTCTTTGTGCTTTTTGCTTTCACATCTTTCACTACATTCAGCTCATTTAACAGTTTAGCTTAGTTTCAGCTTACTTCAGCTATTCAACAACTTCAGCAATCCGTTTCTGAATTCGGCTTATGCTACTCATTTCACAGTTCAACTAAAAATGAAACTGTTAAACTAGTCCTACTCAAACAACAAGTGTTTAGACCTTTTTGCTGTCCAGATTTTTAAATAATGTTCAGATTTCAGTTTTCTGCTGTTAAGGATTGATTTGTCCGGTCTTCACTTTTTGTGCTTTATTTACATTTTGGTGCTTTTTGCTTCTAAATCTTTCAAAACATTCAGCTCATTTTAACAGTTTTGCTTAGTTTCAGCTTCAGCAAATGGTTTCTGAATTCAGCATTTGATGCTAATTTCACAGTTCAGCTAAATGTAAAAATTAAACTGTTGAACTAGTCCTACTACAATAACAGGTGTTTAGACATTTTACCTGTCCAATTCTTTTAGACAGTGTTCACAGATTTGAGTTTTCTGCTATTTAGAATTAGTTTTTTTGATTCTTCACTTACTTTTTGTGCTTTTTTTTG